GGTGAATGCTGTCCAATGCAGGTACTGTTGTCCATGTGACCTCACTTTTGCTTTTAGTCTGTAATAGGCGGAATTGCCGCCCAGGAGGTTATGAAAGCCTGCACAGGCCGTTTTCGTCCTATCAGACAATGGTTTTACTTTGACGCGATTGAGTGTTTACCGGCACCTCTTTGCAAAGGAGGGACTCCAACCCCAATACTAAAAGATAAAATAACACCAAAAGACTCTAGGTACGAAGGACAATGCAGAATTTTTGGCGGCGAGTTCCAGGAAAAATTGGGAAGTCTTAAGTATTTCCTGGTAAGTAAGTATCTTCCTCTAATGCGTGCCTGATAGGTTGGCGCCGGTGCTATTGGTTGTGAGCTGCTGAAAAATTTTTCAATGATGGGCGTTGCTTGCGGGAGTGGCAAACTCTTTATAACAGACATGGATACAATTGAAAAATCTAATCTTAACCGTCAATTTTTATTCCGTCCATGGGATATTCAGAAGTGCAAGTCAGTTGTTGCCGCAGCCGCTGCAAAAAAAATCAACCCAAATGCAAGTTTCAGTTCTTGTGAATGACGATTGTAGATGAATATTGTGCCTCATGAAAACCGTGTTGGTCAAGAGACTGAGGCCGTTTATGACGACACCTTTTTCGAGGCCCTAGATGGTGTCGCCAACGCGCTAGACAACGTAGAAGCTCGCACTTACATTGATCGTCGTTGTGTTTATTACCGAAAACCCCTCTTGGAATCTGGCACCCTTGGCACGAAGTGCAATGTACAGGTTGTCATTCCACATCTGACCGAGTCTTACTCTTCATCTCAAGTAAGGTTGTTAATTAACATTGACATTGTGTTCAGGATCCCCCAGAAAAATCTATTCCTATGTGTACCTTGAAGAATTTCCCCTATCAAATCGAGCACACACTGCAGTGGGCTAGGGATACTTTCGAAGGTTTGTTTTCTCAGCAATCGCAGGCCATGGATTCCTACATGCATGTAAGTTCAGTGTTACTGGATATATCCAAAATGCTGCTTGTAGCTCCACTAGTCACTGTTGATGTAGTCCTTCTTTACACATGTCACTGATTGTTTATAATCTGGGGTTCCTAGTTTTTTCGCAGTTTTTTTTAAGCAGCATTGACTTTCCGAGACAGTGGTGGTCAATTTCGCCCAAATTCCGGCTGTGTTCACTTATTTACTCAACGGTCGGAAATACACAGAAAAACCATTCTTACCCTACGAATCGGTCCCGGCGACGCGCATACCATGATATATAAGGCCATTATGTAATAGGTTCTGCTAATGCGGACTCCTAACTGTTCAGTCTGTTCAAGGCTGTTTCAATCGATCACAGTGCAGTAGTGAAGAACAAAATGTTTACAATAGCTAGCTAGGGTTGCTGTGTCTCTCCACGTTCGCTGTTATAGCTTCCTCATATCTGATCAGCATGACGAGCCTACTCCAAATTTCAAACGTATTGCTGTCGTTACTTGATGTTCTGATTTTGATGAGCCTTCTGTCATCACAGCCTTAGAGATGTCCTATTTCTAATATGTAAACGCAGCGAATACTCTGCAATCAGTCTAGCGTATTTTTTGAATCTCCACTTTTCCCGGCCGCATATTATCCACCAATTGTACCACCCTCTAAGCATTTCTAGCCCATAATGTTGCAAAGTGACATCCAGGTCTGTCGGCATTGAACTGTTCACTCCTCGTGCAACACTTACAACGAGCGTATACTTCTGTTTGTAGATGTGTGTTTTTATCATTCCTAGCATTCAGCATTTTGACCTGTTCCTCCTGCCTGGAATAACTCAGACATTACCCATCGGTGTGCCAAGTTTGTTGTCAGAACGGGCCGTAAACCTTGTCGCCATATTTGGTCTCCCTGGGAGCGAACCACCTCCTGTGATCTACTCTTTGGGATTTGCTTATATTCTCATCCTGCTATAAATACTTTCGGGTCTATAGATCAGCCCTAGTCTTTATTCTGAATATCCCGCGGCTGTCGCAACGGCTTGTTACATTTCCCATAGTTTAGAGGCAAAACGCAAGTCTATGCTTTCACGTTTTTCCAAAGTAACTTCTAACACTGTTCATCTATACCTCCTCCCTATACCCTGACCTTTTCTGCTTTCAAATACGGATACAGGCGGAAGTATCTAGCTAAAGTGCTAAGTGGGTTAAAAGAACTTTATCAGTTGCACTGTTACGTCATAATAACGGTTGCTTACAAACTTTCTGTACTTGAATCATAAAGTTAAGATGGTAGGTCAACTACCACAGGTAAATTGTCTAGACAGAAGACTGTCCCACTGTATTAAGTATTCGAAATTATTTTGTGCATGATCTATTCTGTTTACTTAAATCCTGGGACTTTTTTTCAGAATCCAACAGAATTCCTCGCTAAACTGTCTTCAGGTTCGGGCAGTCAACCCATAGAAACCTTGGAGACCCTAAAAAATAATCTAGTCACTTCCCGTCCAAAGAACTTTGATGACTGCATCGTTTGGGCCCGTAACTTGTGGCAGGTAAAGGTTCTTATCTCTCACGTCTTGATGTACTCTAAGTCTAGTTATCCTTTTAAACTTTCGACAATAAAGTACACTATGCCACTAGTGCAACGTATTTTTGTAGGATCTGCTAAAGCTCATTGAATATTTATCCAGACGAATATCTCCATGTGTAATAGGAAACTATTTGAATATTAGGTGTGGAGGATAATACTTTTACAGTTCCCTTAAAACTCCACACTCGTTCGCCAGTTTCTAATGAATAAATAAGAACAATTAGAGCTTGTATGTAATTTGAAATAACCGTTCTTTTAGTCCTTGTGTGTCTAAAAAACACTCACGCAAATAAAAATTTTGATTTTCCATGCCATTCGACGCGCAAAACCATAAGGTACTCTCTCAGTACCTTTTTGGCCATGCGTACAAGCTGGATGTACTTTTACTTTTGCGTGGATTTTTGTACTCTACTGTTGTTGTTTTTCTGATCCCCACACCAGTGTGGTCCGGGAATGCGTGGTACTTGATGAATTGTTTCTTTGGCAGACTGTTTTACGGAGGGGTCTTGAAATTGCAACACCGGTGTCGACCGTTCGAGTATGCTATGAACATAAGGAATGCATACTGGCTGTTAATCTTAGCCTCTTATATTTTCCGTCCGAGAAATACTTTCAGTCCGAAAATCAATTCTGTCGTAAGTTATTGTCAGCGGACTTTCGAACCATCCTAGAACACGTCGAACACTAAAAGATGACTATGTTCAGGAGCCTAATTGTATTACGTTAACTTCCACAACCAAATGCACATTTGTCATTTATACATAAATAAGCCGCCATTTCTTTAATCTCGTCTTCTTTTCTACTTTGATGTCCATTAGTTGTTCAGGGGTTCTGCCCTTGGGCTACCGATCAACTGAGTAAATTTAATCAGTACATCAAGTTACTGTTTACTCTCCTAATAGTGTATGATAAATAGGCCCAAAAGAAACGTTTTCAGGCCACTCAGTTCGTATTAATTTATTATTTTTACCCTGGTGCACCTCAAAGCGACATTCAACCACGGATTTCCATCTTCTTAGAACTGTTGTCTTCGCAACTTTATTTTCGTATTCAAACCAGACACTCAGCACAGATATCTACGTGTCCATTTTTCCCTTTCTGGCGAGTCCTTTTAATCAGTTATTCACCTGACTTCCCGTTGCTCTTTTTACCAGCACCTTTTACCTCTTAAATTTGTTATTTTAGGAGTTCTACACAAATTCCATCAGTCAACTGCTCTTCAACTTCCCCGCTGATCACAAAACTACGACAGGCACTCCATTCTGGTTTGGCACCAAGCGTTGTCCGCACCCCTTGAATTTTGATGCCCAAAATGTTAGTCCGCACAATTTAGTTCTTGTGTTTTGATCAGTTGTCTTAACGCGCCTTAAATTCATGGCAAGTTGCTCTGCTGGAAGCTTATTATCATCATTCACATTTTTCTCCCACCAAACATTGAGTGTGCTGGTCGTAAGTACCACTTTGTGCGACATTCTGTGATTACCCATGGCCGCTCGTACTTTAAGAACACCATGTCTGCAAATTTTCTGTTGTTCGCTTTAAGGCGTTTAGTTACCGGCTTGTCTTAACTGACCCTTTTTTTCTACGTTGGGGTCAAGAAAATTTGTCTTCAGATCATTATACTCGTCCTTGAGCACACAAGCACGGCAATTTTGGCCTTATTTGCCATCACCAGTGAAATATATCTATCCCATCGTCCGGCCGGCTAAACCCAACATTCGAGTCCGCGTGCAGTTGACCAACTAAGTAACTGCTGTCCCACTTGAGTCCCCTGTTACAGAAACTCTAATTAAGTTCGAAGACAAAACAGAATGCCCGTACTCAGATCAGTCAATGCCGTTACCATGATACTTTAAACATTCCTGAGGGCAACTAACAGGACTTGAACCCATTACTGAACTAGTAGGGCACTTGGCTCGTTGACCAACCGAATCCAGGTTGAAACCTTGTATCTCCCTGTCTTGGATGTTAGAGCATGACAGACCGACGACGGCAAGTGGATCGGACATTTCGTCATCTTCTTTGTCACTGCCTACCGACCGCTGATTGTTCGCCTGCAGGCGAGCTGGATCAGAACTGCAAGTCAACTCGGGGCGTCTGTACTCGAAATAAATAGTAGTGTGCATATTATTTACTTCAAAGAATGCCAGTAAAGGAATTTTTGTCCATTAGAAGGATTTTGAATACCGAGGAGCGATCTGTGGACTGCTGTGATCTGTTGGACGACATCTCAAGATAATCATAACCGGATTTTCCCCACCATCTTCAATGGAAAAGTTTCCGAGATGCTAATTTCCGCACTGCTTTGGTTGTATTTTAACTACTGTTTGCTACCATGCTGTTTGTTACTAGACGACTGTTACGGTTTAGCTATTTTGCCTTCTATAGCCCACCCATCTTGCCTTCATTGTCGCTGCGGCGAACATCCGTGCTTTCATGTACTCTCTTCCTGAATGCCGTGACTTCGATGAAATAGCTCGCAAAGCCGCTGCCATACATGTTCCCGAGTTTGTTCCCCGTAGCGGGATCCACATTGATGTTACTGACGCGGAAATGCAAAGCCACGCTTCTGGTAACGTCCAAAAAGGCAGTTTGGAGGAATTGCGCAACTCGCTTCCTAAACCAGGTGTGTAGTTGCTCCCATTTGTATTTTTCTCCGTGATCCAACTCGATGAAGAACGCATTCCCCACTGTTCTATATTTTTTGGTAGTTGAGCTTCGTTCTATTCTGATCCTTCCGTATCGTTTTTTTGAATGTTTAATGTAGAGGAACTATCTGGTCTCAAGGTGAACGTTGTCGATTTTGAAAAAGATGATGACTCAAACTTCCACATGGACTTTATCGCAGCAGCCAGCAACCTTCGCGCGGAAAACTATGGTATCCCCCCTGCCGATCGCCTGAAAAGTAAGTTGATCGCAGGCAAAATCATGCCCGCGATTGCCACCACAACCAGCCTGGTCGCAGGCCTCGTCTCGTTGGAACTCTGCAAAGTGAGTCAGCAGCATTCCTCTGAGGCTTGCTATCTCTTTCGCGTTTTTCTGGAACTTATGCATACCTTGTATTTTAGCTCGCACAAGGAAACTTTGACTTGGAACTTTTCAAGAACAGCTTCATCAACTTAGCTCTCCCCTTCTTTGCGGCCTCGGAACCAGTGCCGCCCGAGAAGTGGAAGTACTACGATAAGGAGTTCACGATCTGGGATCGCTTTGACTTGGAGGGCACAATGACTCTCCAAGAGTTCTTGGATTACTTTAAGGTACAACAATTTTGTTATTCTAAGACTGGTTTTAGGAAAAACACAAGCTGGACATAACGATGCTATCTCAGGATGTATCTATGCTCTATTCATTCTTCATGCCCCAGAATAAGCGAGCTGATCGACTGAAAATGAAGTGAGTTTACGGTTTTTACGCCTCCGCGTCAAATTTTGTAAAACACACTAATTTCCAACTTTATCAAGGTTGTGTCTTGAGCCCCCAGCACCCTCGTGGTTTTTTAGCTTTGCTAACCTTACAGCCTCGTTCCACCTAATTCGTTCGAATGGTACTCTTGTAGTTCCTAGGGCCTAGGTCCACTGTTTGTGGATAAGGAGCAACATTTATGGTGTGCATTGGTTAGGAGGCTGCAGATCGTCACTCATACAACCGTCTCCGTTCGATGTCCACACCGATAATCTATAGGCTATACACTTTCGCCCGTCTTTTCACATCCCACCTTGAAGCAACGGTATTATACCCATATCGGTAGCTCAAAGCCTAAAAGTTGCCGTACTAAAAAGCACTTATCTTTGGTCGTAGCCCCAACACTTCCGGGTGTTCTTGCTGTTCCGTGGTATTTTAAAGTGAATTGATTAGCATTTATGTATAATGAAAACTAAGGTGCGCAGTCCGTATGATTCCTTTATTTTTCCGAATTTAACATTCAGACTTGGGCAAGCATCCACCTGCTTCTGTTTCTGCTACTACTACTACTACTACTACTATCACCGCCACTTTTATTTTTGTTATTATTACCACCAGTGTGTGTTTCAGTTCGTCGAGATGAACCCTTGTCTAACAATACTGTGTTTTTCAGGTTGCCACAACTTGTCGAGAGTGTCAGTAAGAAACACATTGCGCCGCATGTTCGTGCTCTGGTTTTTGAACTCTGTGCTACGGATATTGACGGTGAAGACGTCGATGTACCCTACGTGCGTTATGTGCTGAACTCTGACAAGTCAACTTAGCTACCTCTCTCTCTCGTCTATGCGCCTGTGTTTTGGCTGCTGTTCGCAGCGCGCAGGCGGAGAGGGGTTGCACGCATGCGCATCTACACGCACAAACTGCAAAATTTACGCGACGAGTGTGTGGAGTCCCCCATTTTTGTTTTATGTAAAAGAAAGTTGTCCTTCATTTTCCCTCTTGTG